CGATGTCTCATGCCTACCTCTACCAAAGAAGTTGTTAGAGAAGCCATCCATATTGTCACTGAACGAATTGCAACCAACCCAATCGCTAGACCACCATCCCCTCATGTCGCAATTCCCGTCCCTCCTCCGGTTGAGATATCATCTCCCATTGAGCATACACCTAATGCTATCATTCCTCCTGCTGTACCGATTGTACCATTTGCTCCTATGACTACCCCGGCGGCAACAACCCCTCGTATACGCCCTACCCGTCAACGACCCTCTAAGCGAGAGATCTCCATCTCCCCTCCTTCTCGCAACCGCACTCTACCTTCCAAGACACCATCCCCGCCTCCGCAATCATCCTCCGTCACCATCGTGAAAACCGAACCCCTTGATAATTTCAAGTGTCGTAACTGTAACGAAATCGGTCATCGTCACAAAACTGCCCTACATACTTCTGCCGCGTATGCCGTAATCTCGCGCCAGGGCCTTTCGGTCTTTTGTAAAGACCTTAAAGGAGAGAAACCTATCCCATTAGTATGGACGGACAGGCTTCTATGAGGCTCTCTCTAGATGGGAGGCTGACAAGGACGCCGCCATGGAACATCTCTATCGAAGAAGATGAGAGAATGTTCAGTCAATGCGCAGGTGATCGTGACAATTATGACGCTTACAATAACTTTGATTGTTGAAATCGGTGACTTCAACGATAACAACGGGGTAATGTTACAGTCAAGTACGCCCCTATTCATTTTCTTTCTCTTACATCATTGTATTACATCACGATCGCATCTTGCCGTCGCTAGATGATCTATTTTGTTATCTCTGACTCGTCTTATCTCTGACTCGTCTTATCTCTGACTATCCCTATGATCTCATCGTACCGGCCCTAAAGTCATTTCCATGTACTATATAAACTCGTCCTGTACATGTAGTTCTTTACTTTAATCTTACTAGGTTTTACCTGGAACTTCCTTCGCTTAAGACCTCCAATCTTAAGTCGTATTGAACTTGATTCAAGTCGAGGACACTCTCCTTGTCTTGTCTTAGAACATCGAACTTCGGTATACGCCGAAGCCTTGAACCAACCTTGGCCGATTACTCTTATCGAGTAGCCATACGTCTGAACTATCCTAGTTCGTAACAGCAGTCCCCCTTCCATTCTGTTTCCTCTAGAGGCACTGCCTTAGGGTCTTTCTACTTCCTTGCAGTGGAAACTCCTCCGGACTTTCCTGTACTCCTCCAGAACTCTCCCATGTTCCTCCAGATGTTTCCCACGCTCCTCTGGAAGTCTTCTAGCACTCTATTAGAGTAGCCAGCCTCCGGAAGTCCTTTGGACTTTGTCAGACCATCATTGGACTTCATCCAAAATCAAGGGCACCACACTCGGGTAAGGGGCACAGCATACCAGCTGAGGCCAAGCCCTTCAGAACCTGTCTACCCTTGAGCACGGTCTTAACACATCTCCTGGATTTCAACATTTTCCATACTCCTCCTCAGCACATTCCTGCCCACCACCACACCATATCCACCTATCTACTGTAGAGAAGTATTAGTGTATGCTATTTAATATAATAGGTCATAATAGAACACTTTTTGGTTTGTTTTTGTTCCAATACAAGCTCCAGAGACCTGTACATGTATTACAGGAAAAAACATATCAAAAACACATCCATATTTTTTACCCTTCAATGATAGAATGTCTTAGCACACTAGATATATGTTTCTGAGTATATATGAGTCGATTCCACCGCTTGTTCAGCCAATCGGCTCTCCAAAGGTCCCTGCAGCACTAGATGTAGTATGCACACAAAAAATAACAAATAACTTCACTTTTTCAGTTTTAACTATATAGACTTGAAATATGATCCCCAACATCCTTTCAATAGTATAACAAGATATGAGCAGTATGGGATCATAGGTTCAGTCCCTGGGGTGCTGCATTGCTATCCTCCCCTGATGGTTCATCTCTTGGGAAAATTTTCCCTGGGGCTCTGACCTTCCAGAAATGTAGGGACTGTATTTCTAGGTGTATATAGAGTATATATATGTTATAAATATATGCTAACAGTAGCAGGATCCTCCTTTATAAACCAATACTTCCTCCTGCTTGCATGGGTGTATATTTTCGCAATGATGGTTATACTCATTCACCACTGGAATGATTACCTAGCAGGCTCACATATATTATATATGGTGTATATAAAGGCTAATTATGGCCAAGATCAGTGAGAAACAGGGCGGATTATTGATATCATGTACATACTAGATATATTGAGTGATAAGGTATTTTACATGTCATTAGGGAGATATTTATGATCAGACTGTTGCAGTACATCCTAAATACACTAGGAAGTATTGTCCCAGTGTTACAGACAATCCACCTAGAATTGAGAGCAGGGCAAGCATATAGATAAGAATTGGACTGTGGGAAACCTAAAAGGACAAAACATCGAAAATCAACACTTGGGTGCACATACAGTTAAGGCCTCCAAATAACTTACATTTACACAACCCTTCCACACCACCTCTACCCATAGAATAAAGTGCGGGAAAGGTTCTTTGGGTACTCTACTATGTAATTTACTGACTTTTAAAAAATCCTTACCCTGTATATGCATCAATTATGACATTTGTGGAGTAGTTCTCATGTAAAAATAAGAGTCTGTTTGGCCACCATTATTTTATGCAAGTTTAGAATCTATATTTTGCAAATTGCTTTGGTAATCTTCAGAGCTTGAATGTCTTGTCACGCTTTGACCATGGCCTTGTCCTTATCATCAATACAATGCCTGATGATCCTGATTGCGATACAGACACTCTTGTTGATGACCATGATCCTGTTGAGGTGGAGGATATGGATGATGGGTCTGGTGATGCAGAGGAGAGTGATAAGAGGTATCTGTCATGCATCATGCAGATCGCCATGCATGCTATGCACACGGTCATTACAGTCCTTGACGCAACAACTACCACACTTGAAGCTTACTCAAACACCTACTATGACAAATAGCTGTATCATATGTCTGCTTTGTCGGGGACTGCATGGGTCACTGAACTTCTTACTGGACACCCTGAACACATCAGATGCGAGCTTGGGGTCCACAAGCACATTTTCTATGTGCTTATCAACCTCCTTTGGCAAGCAGGATGCAGAGATTCCAGGCATGTACTGCTAGAAGAGCAGCTTGCTATATTTCTTTATGCGTCTGTCATGGGTCTCTCAATTCGCCACCTTGGTGAATGCTTTCAGCAGTCAAACAAAACAATATCAAAGTACATAATTGTTACTGTCCTGGTATCAAGCTTAATGTTTTTTAGGTATTTCAGATGGGTTCTTTTGGCATTCTCCTCTCCACCAATATATACAACATATGTCTGCCTGCCCGACATAGATAGCCCTCCTCCCCTTGAAATCACCCAAAACCCGAAGTTCTTCCCATTCTTTGTTGATGCTATTGGGGCTATTGACAGTACACATATCACATGCCCTCCTTTTGGTGAAGATCGGCATGCCGCTTGGGATCACAAGGGTAACTTCTCTCAAAACTGCCTCGCAGCATGTTCATTCAACTATCCTTTACCTACATGTTGAGCGGTTGTGAGGGGTCAGCTGCAGATGCCCATCTCTATCACGATGCTCATACTACCAATTTCAAGATATTGAGTAGTTGCTTGTCCTCTAGACCCTCACTCTGCAACTTTTTCACCACCTTCTGCCTATGCAAAGGAATAGGATCTACTGATGTGCCAAGGTGTTGGAGGTGTTGGCCTCAAGAGCATTGGTTGCACGCTCAAATGTTGTATTAAGACCGCCAATACTAGTTCTCATCTGCTGGATGGCCACTGGCATTGCTAGGCATGCAGATTTCCCCAAGTCTCCTGATTTCATTGAATGTGGGGGGCAGGTAACAAGAGCAAGCATACTTTTGTCATCATCAATCATTTACCTGTTTACCGGTGCCTTGTTACTTAAGAGTCTTATATACGACGCGTATATAGTGACAACACAACTATACAGGATAAGACTTCTTGCCAGTCCTTAAGTACACGGTCAACGACTTTTCTAGTTTTCGTGGTAGATAACGTGCTGAGTTCTTGGGAGGAATGTCTTTCAATATTCTCCTTCTTGTTCCTTGGTTAGTTTAAACCTCGTGGTCTCGAAATACTGAGTGTGAAGTTTGTACGTGTTTTGGCAAGTGTGTGCCTGTGGATTCGTGAAGTGTGTCTCGTGATTCGTGTCTCCCTTCCTGAAAAAGAGAGAGGAAAGTAGTGCTGATAAACTTTAGCTAGGTAGCTGTACTTTGTTATATAGTCAACCCCTGTAAGGTAGTATATAACCTGAATATATGTTTCTTATTCTTAACTTCAAGGCTGCTGAATGGCCTGCACTTGGATCTTACTGGTTCTCACACGGTTTGAGAAAAGAGTTAAAGTGGGAAGCTTAAATTGCATGGGTGAAAATGGGCTCCTTATATACCTTTTGGGAGGCCATCTTACTAAGCATGATTCATCACATAGATTGGTAAGAATGTGCTTACAAACTTGTGTTGAGTCAGCTTGTTTACTAATGTACATACAAAATGAAGTGTAGTATTACAAAGAATGAAAAATGAAAAGCATGAGTCATCACATGGATTGGTAAGAATGTGCTTACAAACCAAGTCCTTAGGTGTGCTGAATCAGCCTTATGACAAAGTGGATTACAAATACAGTTGCAAGTTTTACAAAGCATGACAAATCATGACCAAACATGATGAGTCAAGTGAATCCTTACAAATCAGAGTATTTCCCAGTCACATGACATGATTACTAACATGTTTGATGGCTTGAGGAAAAGTCTGGTGGCTAATGTGCCTAGAAAAATAGAAAGAGATGGAATCTCATGGAACAAAATAGAAATACATAGAAAAAATAGAGAGTGAAGTTTGAAAGTGACAATACTAGCTAAGAAATGAATGAAAAATGATAAGGTAACTTGGTGATAGGAATCAGTCAGGTGTCTTCTACCTTCCCTGTCACTGCTGTTGTGTATATGTCATGGTATGGATCACATACCATGCCATGACACCGGAAGCAGTTGATGATGGCGCACTAACATTGACCGACCCAAGGGAGGGTTGCTGTGTGACATTAAATGGAGGGAGGCTCTCTGAGCTGACAATGGTTGCACGCTGACCACCTGAAATAGAGCCGGTGAAACTTGATGCCATTGAGTGCATCTCCAAGGTCCATCATATGGACTTCGTCAAAGGAAGGGAGGTGACTGCATTGCTAATAGAATGCAAAGGAATAATGGGACATAGTGTTGCAAATGGTGGCAAAGAACGAGTTGTCGTTACCTTTCTTGACATGCATGAGACCTTTCAGCAACTCATAGTGTTTCTAACCCTTGACCCTGAGGCCTTTGGCCTTTGGATTTTTTCTATTGGTTCATAGTAATTAAGCATTGTCATAGTAGTTTGATGTGAATTAAAATCACTTTACCTTCACAAAGTCGGTCCACATGTTTTCTGACTCTGGAGTGATCGAAGCTCCATCATGGTGTTCCATGCTGTAAGATAGTCCAGAAATGTTGGCCACTTGTTGACGACGGTAAACATAGCATGGAGCTGAAACTTGATCATCAGTGAGGGTACCAAGGCTGATGCTATAGTGGTAGTACATACTGTGTCCATTTGATTGACATGCTGCCACTGTTTTGCTTACATCCGAGCAGGGGTGGTCCTTCCATTTCAGCGGCAGCAGCAACCCAAAATGTTTGATCAAAGTTCAAATCATCACCACCTTGTGAATGGTTCTTGGCGACATACTCGATGAGGATGGTTTCATCTGCTTCCGTCCATACACACTGATCTCTCGGTTCTGTTTGTCCCGCACCACCATGGGCACTTTTTCTGCCCTGAGACATCCTGTAAGAGTTGTGATGATAGATAGATTGTGGACGGGTAACAGGCATGCCTACTAGTATTGATGATAAGGTTGGCTACACTGTGACAACACAGTATGATTATGAAAGCCAAAATTTGCGAAACATAGATTCTAAACTTGCATAAATAACAGTGGCCGAACAGACTCTAATATTTCACTGCCTATTCATCAATTGTGGGTGAGAGGCCCTGTGCTCCTGAGATATTGTGTATACTATTGAAAGGTTGTTGGGGATTATATTTTTAAGTCTATATAGTTAAACTGAAAAAAAGCAAGCTATTTTTGTATGCATACTACATCTGGTGCTTGCAGGGACCTTTGGATGGGCCAAATGAGTGGTTGAATCAACTCATATATACTCAGAAACATATATCTAGTGTGCTAAGACATTCTATCATTGAAGGGGAAAAATGTGGATGTGTTTTTGATATGTTTTTCCCATTATTACAGGTCTCTGGAGCTTGTATTGGGACAAAAACAAACCAAAAGTGTTCTATTATGACCTATTATATATTACATAGCATACACTAATACTTCTCTACAGTAGATAGGTGGATATGGTGTGGTGGTGGGCAGGAATGTGCTGAGGAGGAGTGTGGGAAATGTTGAAATCCAGGAGATGACCGGAAATGCTCATAATGTTTTGGGTGCATTGCAAATTTCCCACAGTTTAAAAATGTGGTGCATCGAATGCATGACCAATAGGGACGCTCAAAGTTGGGCGCACACGTCGCACACTGCACACTGCACACACACATGCACACGACCCCCTCACACATGCACCCCTACCCCAAAACAGTAAACCTTAGATAATCATCGGACTTTGGACTAAACCTTGCGGCGCACAGCGCCGAACAATGCTCTACAGTACTTCAGGCCATACTGTGATAATGATACATCAATTAATTACGAGTTGTGGTAAATGTGTGATACATATTTTACCATAATCCATAAGCACCTATAATCTGTAGGGCTGATATATCAGTGGAGGATTCTACCTAGAAGCCTGCTGTTGGCTGGATTGGTTCCCTGGACCTGGTTCCTTGCTTCTTGTCACCCATCAATCCTTCTTTCTGATTCGGTCCCTGGGGGTTTTGAGCGGGGCTGTCAAATAGGCTTACTAATCTGATCAACATTATCCGAAACAATGGCTCACCTAGACTTGACCTAGACCATTTGCAATTTAGAAGTATTGAGGAAGATCAAGATTGATCACATGATGCAAGCCACATCACTTTTTCCTCAAGTGATGTGGCTTGCATCATGTGACCTTGATGTTCGGAATTTGACCAAGTCCATGAGTACCTGGCAGGCATAACCCTAAATAAACATATTTGTCATGTGACTCATGTCTGTTTGAGGTGTGTGTTTCGCACGGTTCTGAATGCCCATTTCTAATTATTCTGTCTGCGCTTATTGATCCGATTTCTTAGTCTTTGACTACTTATGTCTCCTTATAAAGTCCTTGGATCTTTCACCGATATCCCAGCCGTTATTCGTGTTGATGATGCAAAATCTGAATCAACTGTGTCATTGTCTTTTCTGCATACTTGCAATGTGCCGCAAACTGTCGTCAATCATCATGGTGTGGCTGTAGAGTCCACTCTTGGGCCAGTGCGCATATCTTTGCTCTGGGTGTGTGAATCCATGCGTCAAGAATTTGATATGTCTTGTCACTTGTGGTGATGAAGATGGTGTGCTTTCTGCGAGGATAGCGTTTCTGACAGCTATCTCGCCTTCATCTTGCAGCTCGATTTCACCCTATCGATATTTGTGGCATTCACCAAAGTTCACCTTGCATTTATAGTATACACCTCCATCTCGCAGCTTGTCCTAGGTTGATCTGTACGATACTTGTACCCCTTTCACCGTTCTCGCGACTCGTCTGGGTTGACCTGTTTGATATATGTATCTGTACTAGTAGCACCTCCAATTGATTTCACATTATGACGGCTCAAAAAGTGACCATAGTGGGCTCTGCCACATTGTCACTCAGACTCCTGCAAATCCTACACCAGTGGTGTGAATTTTTCATTCAATTGGGAAATGTTGGACTTAGTGAAATTTTGCTTGTCATACACTCACATCCCTTGTAATGGTGCTGGGTCAAGCAGCCCACTGAAATGACACCACCTCTGAGTCTCCAACCACGTCCCAAAAGTAAAAGTGTGGAACTAATGCAAGATGATGGATTGTGATTCACATATTACCAACTATGTACATGTAACAATGATGTATGGTGTGAAAAAACTCAACCTGACTAGGCACTTGTTAAGGTACTCAGCCAGTATATGTCTAAGCTCTGCCTATGCTGCTATACTTGCAAACAATAAAGCAAGAACGTTCGACCCGAGGGAAAAGCTACTAAGGACAGCTCAAGATCAAAAGACCCGAAAGAGCGCTAAAGCGCGGGAATAGCGCATCGCAAGATAGAGCGCTAATGCGCGGGAATAGCGCGTCGCAAGATAGAGCGCTAATGCGGGGAAAGAGTGGAAGTCAAGAAAGCGGACACTGAGTCAAAGGAGGGTAATGGATAGTGAGTGAGATCAAAGGTATTGATTTGCAAGGGTAAGGAAAGTCAAATAGGGGCCATAGAGCGCAACTAAAGGGTGACTACTTCTAAGTAAAACCTAAGGGAAGGAAATACAGTCGAAGGGAAGTAATGTCAAAGTAGTCACCATAGGCTTCTTATACTAGTAAACTATACCATCTCAGACTTGGAAGGGATAGGATATACATGTAATAAGACTGTAGCACTTTTTACAACTCGAGGCAAGGCAAATTACATACCAATGAGGGTAGGATGGACCATGGATGGATTCCGACATTTCGGGTGATTCCTAGAGCGCGGAGAACAGCGCGCTGGACTAGCGCTAGGCGTGGGAACAAGCGCTAGCGTCGGATAAGTCACGGGAGCATGAATAGCGCTGCGGGAATGTGCGCGCATAGTGTGGGAAAGTGCAGAATAGCGTCAGACAAGGGTTATGGCTGAGACAAGTTGAAGACTGCTGATAGGGGAGTAGTGAATAATGCGAGGGATAACTTTGGTCCACTATTGAAGGCTTATGCAGGTATACATGCCTAGCGCCAATATGATTGTCACACCACGAGGGAGACAAATGGACTCATACACACCTGCCCCTCTCTCTTATTCACGTCCTAATACATTACTTCCTGGTTCTAACTATCGTCTTGCACCATCCGCGCATCACCTGCTCTTATGGAGCAAACATGACTCGTTTTCCGCTGCGCTATTTACAGCACAATATACTCACCTCGTCTCTACCCGTTTGGTTATTGACCACACGTCTGTCCGACGCATTTAACAGTGTATATTCTTTTGACAAGACCCGACGTGTGCTGGTTTACAAGCCAGTCGCGAAGAAAGTCCGCATGGTACAAACTTCTATGCCCCCTGAATATAGGATAATGCGACGGTTACCTGATGATCCTTTGGCCGGCATGCCTACACTGCCTACCCACCCGCCTGATTTCTTTCCAGGTGTCTGCTTCACTCAAGAGAGAGTGGACAAAATTGGACTTAGACCCCACTAATTGGTTATGGCCTGACGAGTTGAAGCTCATATGCTGGCTCGTTCAGGTCCATGAATTAGCATTTGCATGGGACGCGACCGAGCGCGGCCGTCTCAATGAAACATATTTCCTGCCATACAAAATCCCTACCATCCCTCACATTCCTTGGTCTCAATGTAATATCCCTATCCTGCCCGCAACCCTCAGAGAAGTTATCCACATCATCAAAGAAAAGATCCAATCGGCTGTATACGAACTGTCTACCACTGCATACTGATTGCGCTGGTTTTGCGTAGTCAAGAAAGACGGAAAATCCTTGCGCCTAGTTCATGATCTTCAAACCGCTGAACACAGTAAACTATCCGAGACTCATCCCTCCCTCCTTTTGTCGAACAGTTAGCTGAATCCTTTTCTGGGTATGCGGTATATGGTATGATGGACTTACAGTGGCTCAAAAAAGTGTCCCAATGTTTGTGAGTTTTCATGTAATTGCTTCATTGTGAGTCAGGGTGTGGGAATCTGACTAAGCTATAGGGAGGTGTCAGAATGCTCTGCCTCTTGGCTTTATCTTTGTTCCATGTAGCGTGGGAATCCGATGTTATCGCGTGAAGATATTGTCATTTTAATTTGATGCCTCATTGGGACACTTTTTTGACTTTGAATTTGACCAATATAATCTCTATAATTCTAGTACTTACTGTTGCCTCTTCTTGCTCTAATCACTTCTACCACTCTTATAAACACACTATCTATCAATTCCTAGCATTACCCATTAGTAATATTCCCTCACTGTGCTGTAACCTCTCTCCCATAGCTAAAATAGCCCCTATTGGGGTTCCTGATACACTTCCTGAGTAATTTCCAGAGTGTTCAATAGGGTTGAGGTCTGAAGACTGTACTAGCAAATTAGAACAGTAATATCATAGTTTTTCAAACCATTTGGGTAGCTAACTCTAAGCATACTTGAAGTCATTAATCCTTGTCATAAGATGGTGTCTTCTTCATTAATGTTTGATTCCTGCATGCTTTTAAGCAGACACTCTGCCAAAATTAAGATGCACTGCTCTGCATCTATCCTCCCCCTCCACCTCACAGAGAATTCTGCCCCTAGTCCACCTCATACAACCCCATACCATCAAGTTTTCTTTTCTCCAAACCTGAGTGTTTCTTGACTTCTCTTGGTCCTAGTAGTTCTTCTGCCTTTTTCCATACATATTCCTGGTCATCTGACCCCATTCTATTGATTTTTATCTCATCGGACCAGATAGCCCAATTCCAGTCCTTTCAGGTTACGACCAGCGCACGCTACATGAGGAATCACGCGACCTCACTTCCTTTGGAACGCCGTTGGGTCCACATCGGTGACAACACTTCAGCCAAGGTCACGCTAATGCGGTACAAGTATACCAAGGTGATACCGCTTTCATTCCTGCAGGACGAAATTCC